AGGCAAGGCAAGTTTCGAGTAGCCTTGAGAATCGAGAGACTGGCATGTGCATGTGCAATGCATGTTGAACTAAAGAAAATAACTTCCCATTCTTGTATAAAACAAAAACAGTTTAATCATAGTATACGGTACTATAGAAGTTAGAATAGCCTCTATGTACTCTTTTCTAACCTCAACGTATGATATACATGGGATTTGGCGACATTATGATGAGCAGTAAATGGGTCATTTTGGCATTGGTTACAATTTTCAAAGTCATAGTGTATACAGTCATAAGTCTTTAATCCAGGCTCATTGGGACTTTGGCGATTCCGGATTATCGGTTTTTCTCCGGATTTTAGATCATCAGTTTAAATCTGGTAAGATGGCATGCAGAAATTATAAAATTAAAAATATGAAACTGTAATTTATGAAATAAAGAGCATTTATGGTCTACAGGGTACCAAAATTTACAAAAAAAAAAAAAAAAAAAAGCTTTTATTTGTTTTATTTTATTAACATTCTTTCTTTCAACGTGCGCATGCGTAAAACATACGTTACGCATAGTCAAAATTAGAAAATTGCAACCAGAAAACTATTTGATGTGTATTCGTGATATTTATAATGACGAGGAATTTGATTTAAATCATATCAAAGACGGAGTACATCGAGATGAAATGGTACATTTAGTAAGGAATTATAAGCCGAATAAAACAAAAACATCTGCGCTGAAGATAAGGATAGCCCCCCCCCCTGCGGAGCAGCGTGAAATTGATAAACATATTTCGGAATGATTAGAGAATCAAAGAATATGCCTTTATCCATTTTTTGAAGCAATTCCACTTTTTGTTTGATGGACATCGAAACATGCTTTCGCTTTGTAGATGCTTTGGTAGCTTCAGAATAGGAAATTTTTTTGACATAATCGAAAGTTCAAGCTGACTTTTATAAAATTGCTCTAACAGTCTGCAAAAAATAATAAGTCGGATCCAATTAGAAGATTAAGGAACAATGCAATCTGCAACATTAACTGAAATAGATAATTAGATAATTTTAGCTTAGCTTATATCGTCCATTATACATTAAACGTGCATGCATAAACGTATTATGCGCATGAGTAGACGCATATGTGCATGTGTAAAGGTAATGTGCATGCGTTGATGCATGCTCAGAAAGTTTGTAGCTTTGAGGTCCAGATTATAGATCATTCCGGATTATGGACGTCCGGATTAAAGACTTTTGACTGTAATAGGATTTTACCACAAAATTGTTTTAAGACTTTCCCCCCCCTTTTTAATAAATGCCTTATTTTTCATTTTGCAGTAAAATGAAAAAAATAGTAACCAGTTATCTAGGCTAACCATTTAATATAAATATATTTGCCAAAATATCGTTGATTATTATAATTCAATTTTTAAGTAATTTATTTTAGTTTTATTCTTATCATTTAATGTTGCTTCTTTCCTCTAAAAACTGTGTTAGTTAATAACACTTTCAAATTTTAGCCAATTTTCTCTGGCATAATTATGAAACTAATTCTAGTAGTATGATGACATACTATCACAAAATTTAATGCACATATTCTTTGCTTATGTATGCTGCTAAATAAATATAAAATACCTGAATTTATTTTGAAATATCATTAGAATAGTTTTGTGTTTAGCTGTAAAATATCTGCAAAAAAGATATTATTTAATCCAAATTGGGCAGATTCTAATCTCAGTCTTCAGTCGAGAAAACAACTTATATTATAGTTATAATAGTAATGCTTTGGGGTTATAAATGTAATAATTCTGGGTCAAAAAATAATAGATAAAAAACCCCTGTTCCTTAAACAAGGTAACTGGTTCGATAGGATTCAAAATCCATTGGGGTTTCCCCGCACGGGTTCGAATCCTGTCTACTTTTAATTATATGTAATAATTCTGAGAGTATAGAAGAGGAATCAGGTTGCGGTCATTTCCGCGCATGTAAAATCATCTCAGTAAATATTTATCAAATCATAATGAAATCTGAGACATTTTTATGATTCAGTCATAATGAAATATGATAAACTGCCATGTACATTTATTCTTAAAATTAAGATGCAGGCATTTTAGATAAGAAAGCAAAGTGAGGAGATGTTAACAAGGTAGAAGCCAGCAGAAGAAGTGATGTAACTAGCTGCCAGGGTTATTTATACCAGGTGGGATGTACAAGTACAGCTAATCATTGATTGGCTAGTTAGTAGTATTACATAACGTAGAAAATTCTTGAAATTTGGGAGAACAAGTGAATTTAGGGGGAGAGCACCAAATTTAGAATGTTAATTTTAAGATCGCCAATTATTTTTTAAAGCAGCTATTATGTTATTATATCTTACATATTTATACAAGTCATATGTAATTGCCAAATTTTTATGTTCTCAAGTGGTACCATAATTAATTTACCTCTCAGCAGAGCCAATGCACATTATGCAGATAGACTGAAATTTTCATAAAACAATTTAAAAAAGTTCATACATTGCATTGAAAAAATCAATGAATTTCATTTCTGATTTTGTTTATTACTTAGATGGAATGTTTAATAGATATTTAATTTATTTTGCAAATGAAAGTTATTGAGGAAAGCAACTCCTATTTATAGTCTAGTAATGCTTTGCGAATTATATATATATGGTTATTATATATATATGTGTGTGTGTGTAACTGGCAAAGTATTCTGTTATCAAGTGGTACCATAATTAATTTACCTGTAGCACAACCAACATGCACTATGCGGATAGACTGGAATTTTCTTAAAACACATCTGGAAAACCTGGAAAAGTCGGAATTTCATTCTCCTGTTTGAGTGGCAACCCTGTAAATAGACTAGCCCCTGTATTCTTATTTTTCCAGAAGAGCATCATCTCTTTAGATTTTCATGTTACATTATATGGGAGAAAATAAAATAGTTTCACATATAATTTCACTCAGATTATTTATATTGTACAAAATTCGTAACAATTTATACTGGTTATCATAAACTAAGCAAAAATCACAAAAATAATGATAACTCCCTCAAAAATAAGCCAAACTGTGTAAAATTTGAATATGTTGCCAAGTAAGAGTAGCTAAGTAAAACTGCGATATGCAAATTAGTGGCACTGCTTTCGGAATACATCATCTGCTAGGAGCATAAAAGTCCATGCTTGAGAGCAAGCCCATATATTTCACTGTGACATTGACATAAAAAATCTGAGATAGCCAATTCGTAACAATGACTTCCAAGCATCATTTGCCTGCAGAACTGCAATGGAGAGCCATTGGGAGACTAGAGGCAGGACAAAGTCAAACAGAAGTGGCCAAATGGCTAAATGTGAGTCCTTCTATGGTTCATGGACTTTGGAGGCAATTTCAAACCACAGATTCGGCATCTAGGAGGTTCAGCCAAGGACGGCCAACTGTTACGAGAGCGCCGATGACCGATATTTGACATTATGTGCATGCAGGAACAGAACCGCTACTCCGACTCTTTTCTTAGATCCTCCCTTGCTGCAGCCACCGGAAGGTTCGTGTCAATGTCAACTGTGTGTAGAAGGCTTCATGAAGGTGGTCTGTATGTGAGGTGACCAGCCATTTGTGTGCCGCTCACATCATGCCATAGGAGAGACCCTTTTATAGTGGGCACGACAACATGTCCACTGGACGCCTGATCAATGGAGGGCAGTTCTCTTTGCGGATGAGTCCAGGTTTAGTCTAGAAAGCAATAGTAGACGTTGTTTGATATGGAGAGAATCTAGAATCCATCATCATCCGTGAAAGAGATGTATACGGAAAGGCAGTGTCTGTGTTTGGGGTGGCATCTCTTTGGGTGGACGCACAGACCTCTATGTCTTTCCAAGGGGAACCGTGAATGCTGAGAGATTTATAGAGATGACATCCTTGATGTTTATGTGCGCCCATATGCCAGGGCAATAGGTGATGCTTTCCTGTTACAGGACAACAACACAAGTCCACACAGGGCTCACATCGTAGATGATTATCTTCAAAGGAAACAATTATGCGCATGGAGTGGCCAGCTCGATCCCCGGACTTGAATCCTATCGAGCATGTTTGGTATGCTTTAGGGAGACATCTAGCTGCTCTCAATCTCCCCCCTCAAACCCTTGTCGTGCTTGCAACTGCTTTGCAAGAGCAATGGCTCTTGCTTCCTATGGAACTGATAGACTGCATAATTGAAAGCATCACACGTTGTTGTATGTGCTGTATTGCTTCTAGAGGCGATCATATTCCATATTGAAGGTACTTTTCCTATAGCAAACTGACATCTTCGATTTGTTCATTTTAAACATTCTAATTTTTATACTTATTTGTCTGGTAATTTCTTTTTATGTTATTTGATACCTTACTATGTGTTGTATATTGTGGGTAAGTTTCATTAAATTCTACATGTAACTTTTTCAGTAATCGTGATCTTTCTGATTTTTCCTTAATTTATGATAACCAGTGTATTTCTTTTTTAACTAAGCAAACTAGATTTTTTGATTTTCAATGGTTAGGATTATTAATGTTTGAGAAATGGAGCCATGTATCTGTATAATTTCTGGTTAGTTTGTATCTTGCCCCCCCCCCAAAAAAAAAAAAAAAAATTACATCTGGAGTTTTACTCTCTCTCTCTCTCTCTTTTTTTTTTTTTAATTTGGAGTTATAATAATTCTTGTTTAATTTATATACCATACATGTATGGAAATGAAAATTTTTGATAATAAAAAAATGATTTAAATTTTTTGATAATGTTTCACATTTCAAATTGCAGGAATATCAGATCTTAACATTTTTCAATTCTTAAGCTGGAATTTTAAAAAACGAGATCACAGTTCTTTCTTAAAAAAGATAATTCTATGAGGATTGTGAATTTTTTTAAATAGAGACTTGGCTGAAAAGTTGCTTTTTGTACAAGATTTATTATTATATAAATTTAATGTATAAGATTTAACTTATAAAATTTTGTCCATAATCCATCATTTATATATAGATTTTTCTTTTTCTTCCTTTTTACAGATAGATTTTTCTCATTTTTTTGGATTTGTATATTTTCGTCAAGTGAAAGACAAAACTATCCCAAGAGGATATTTCCAAAAGGTCAGTAAGTGAAAGTATATTTTTTATAATTATTTCTATCTCTTATTTTGTATCTATTTCTTAGAAGCAAATACCTGATAACTTAATAAAAAATTTATGAAATTTATGAATTTCAGTCAATGGTCTTGTTGACAAAACTTCCACTGATATCTCTGTTCACAGAAGTCTTAGCTAAGATTGCTCCTGTGTTCTTCAGTTCTGGAGAACCAAGTATTGAATCAGGTATGAATATTATTTATGAAAGTCTAAAAGAAATTTTATTTGTTTTGAAATTCAAGCTAATAAAATTCTTGTTCTAAAACTATCATTATATGAAAATTATTTCAATAGTATATTTATTACAAATTACTATTATATATATATATATATATAAATTAAATTATTGCAGATTGTTCAAGTATTTTAACGTATATTCTTTAAAACTATTTCTAGAAGCTTCAATTTCAGATAAAACTAATTTTATTATGTTCTTTAAAAGAATGTTTCATGGAGATCTTCACACAACTCTTTTGCCTCTGAAATTTAGTAGATTTTCTATGATTATTAACTGCAGCCACTTAATCTTTGTAAAAACATCTTAGCTTATGTGGCTCCCTAAATGAAATTTCTATGCTTTAATAGACTAACAACAATATTTGATGTTTCAAAGACAAAATGTTCTGATAATGGCAACTTCAGTACAAAAGTCTTTGCTAATTCAAAACATTTTCAACGAGTTTTGTGGAAAGGAAGTATGTTAAAAAGAGTTCATTTAAAAATATGACATTATAATATGTTAATTTTGTAGAGCAGCAGAAATTGAGATCAAAATTCCAAGTTTATTTGAATGGAATTTTTATGTGTTCCTGGATGACTATTAAAATTATAGTTCATCAATGAATATGAGGCTGAAGACATGAACTGAACCATTCTCTTTTTACTTCCTTGTATGAAGTAAAATAAAGGAAGTATTGTAATCACAAAAAATTTCGGGTATCATATTTCAAAGAAAATATCCATTCTGAAAGGCTTAAAAAAAAAAAAATAAATAAATAACAAAAGAGAAAATTTCAGATATTATTGTGCAATTAAATGAGCTCAGTTAAACATTTGAGGACATTGATTTTGATTGCTGCAAAGAAAGTTTTCCAATGATCGGGAATAACTGTTTCTTTTTGCAGATGTAAGAATGCATATGGAACTGGGCCCACCAGCGGCCGAGCGGTAAAATCGCTGAACACTGGTAGTTGTGTCCGAGGTTTGAATCCCGCGAACGGGCTGGCTGCATGGGCGTTTTCGTGGTTTTCCCCATGTGTAACGTGTATACGAGCCAGTTTCCCTTAGAAAGTCCTCCACGAAGGCATCCCTCCTCTTAGGCAGATAGTCCTCGAGGCTTTGCCATAATCACACACATACACACACACACGCATATAGAACTGGAACTTGTATTTTCAATGCCGATGTCAAGAAATAACACAGAACAACCTGGATGTCTTACCATGCCAAAGTGCAAATTATGACGTAGAGTTTTAATTGGGAGGGGGGCAACTATGTGATAGTTTCTGAGCTGCAGGACAAGGAATAGTACACAATTTTACTGCAGGTTCAGAACTGAAGTTAAAATTTTGTGAGAAGAATGAATTTGAATATTTCAAGCTTTTTACAGTTTGAAGCTGATAAACAAAATCGTAGAAGAAACTATGATTATTTTATTCAAAATGAAAAAGAGTGTAATAGAAAATTCTAATGATAAAAAAAATGATTGCATTATGCTAAGTGTAAGAATATTGCATCCACGGAAATGTCTTCATTTTTAACTGTGGCATTATGCTTTGTGGACATATAGAATACAATGCATAAATTGATTGAAACTACATTTTTTTCCTCAAAATAATGCTTCAGATGGTTTTAAAAAATTGTTAACCTTTTTGCAGTTCGTGAATGATAAAATAATCATCAAAGACAAATTCTGATTATAATGGCTTGCCAAAATTTAGGGAGGTATTTGATATAGTTAACTGAAATTTTAAATTAGTTTAAGGTACCTTCTTGGCAGTTAATGAAGCTGTCATCATGACTTTTAAAGGCCATGAATTTTTTATAAGTATATCCCTAAAAAACATAACTATAGGGGCTTAAAAGTTTACAAACTGTGTAATGAAAATGCATACACATATGACATAAAACATTATTTGGAAAAAACATAAAGACAGAACATTTGAAGATCAAAATATATTGTAATCTATGTAACGTTTAGTAAAATGCACGAAACTAAAAAGGTAATCCCTGTTTATGAATAAATATTTTTTTATTCCTCGACTCTTTATAGAATTAAACAGTTATGGAAGGGGGGAAACCTTGCCACAGAACAGTGCAAGTTCAACAAAATGATTTATCCAAGAATTTGGTGGTTAGAAAAGCAGGCAATTTAGATATGAAAAATATTCAAATAGTTTCAATTATAGCATGCTTTATATAAGAGAGAAATGTTATGTAATAATTCTGCTCTCAAGGGTTTTTCTAACTGTGCATTCCTTGACGGAAATTGATCGACCAAAAAAAAAAAAAAAAAAAAAAAAAAAAAGGTTTAAATACGAGTTAAGAGGTAAAGGATAGGACCCTTTTGCTTTCCGTGTGTGTTCTAGTAACAATGAAATTTTTTCCCTTCCCTGACGAAATCTTGGCCACTGTGTAGTCTGCAGGAACAACATTTGGAAAGACTCCTATGATGGTGATGTGTATGCTTTGTGAGTTTAGATTCTTATTGTTAACTTATTATAGTTATTAATAACTTATTTTACTCAGCAGTTTCTGTGATACTTACTTGTTGGTTAAACTGAATTATATTTTCTTGGTGATAATTTTTTTTTGGCATCAAAAAACAAAACATCAAGGGTAAGTACTAAAGATGAAAATAAACAAGAAAGAAATTCCGAAAACTTGAATTTACTCAAAAGGAAATGGCATACTGTGTAAAAGAAAAAAACATGGAAAAAAATGCTAATCAAGCTTATGTTTTTGCTGTTGCATTTAGCTATGCAATACAACTATGAGTTTTCGATGGTATTTGTAGCAGAATAAGAAAAAGTTGTTTTGAAAACGTTGAAAGAAAAAATACAAAAACTCCAAACTAGGTAATTGCAAACAACATGACTGACAACTCAATAATATTTATGGATTATTGGAAATAATATTCAATGGTGAATAAGGGTTCTCAGAATATCACTGGAAATGTTTTGTCACACACACATGCACATAGAGGATGAGAGGGAAACCATTTTCATAGACTCCAACTACTACGGATTCTCCGTAGTTTCTACGGAAATTCATGAAAAACTACAAGCTACGAAAAGTATGGAAAAAACTACGGATTTTACAGAAACAAGAGCAGGAGAACCAGTACGCAAAACGGAACCAACTAATTCATCTGATGATTGGCTGAATACTCGTGTTATCATATATCACGTGTTGAGTGCGTTCCTAGTTTTGAAGAATTAGCCAATCGTAGATCAGTAACTCCAACCGTTAACGACTTATCAATAGTTCCACCCACTTGTCTGTCTCCCAGGTTCCTCGCTGATGCGTGTTTAGGCAAAGAATCTCTAAGGATCTTCCTTAGAGATTCTTTGGTTTAGGCTGCATTGTGTAGTTTACGGCGAGAGCTTAGCGTGTGTCTTGTGAACTGTGAATCAGGTGAAAGAATTTTAATCATAATGCTGCCTCGAACGAAGAAGCCAAAATTATCAAAGCAGAAGTTTAAAGATTCATATTCTTCAGAATTTCCATGCATTAAAGCGTCCGAAATTTCTGTGAATCACACACACTGCAGTGTATGCAACAAAGACTTCTCAGTTGCTCATGGCGGAAAAGATGACTGTAAACGGCATGTGTTTTCTCAAAAGCATATAGAACTTGGCACCGTAAAATCTAAAGAAATAACAAATTCTTAATAAAAGATGATGAAAAATCCTATAAAAGCCGAATCTATTTTTTCGATTTAAAATCGAAAAGCTTTTTTTTTTTTTTTTTTTTTTTTTGTTTTTTTTTTTTTTTTTTTTTTTTTTTTTTTTTTTTTTTTTTTTTTTTTTTTTTTTTTTTTTTTTTTCTTTTTTTTTTTTTTTTTTTTTTTTTTTTTTTTTTTTTTTTTTTTTTTTTTTTTTTTTTTTTTTTTTTTTTTTTTTTTTTTTTTTTTTTTTTTTTTTTTTTTTTTTTTTTTTTTTTTTTTTTTTTTTTTTTTTTTTTTCTTTTTTTTTTTTTTTTTTTTTTTTTTTTTTTTTTTTTTTTTTTTTTTTTTTTTTTTTTTTTTTTTTTTTTTTTTTTTTTTGTTTTTTTGGGAAAAACGCTTGCAGAAAATTACTGTTGCTGATATTATAAAATCAGTGTGCAGTACATCATTTTCTCTAAGTACTGATGGAAGTAATGATAACAAACTGTACCCATTGGTTATAACATACTACAGTAAAGAAAAGAGAGTGATAATTACTTCATTGATTTTCTATTTTAGAATGCACGAATAATACAGGAGAAGGTATTTTTAATGTATAAATGAAAACTTTAAAAACAAAGGTTTAGAATGGAAAAATTGCTTATCATTTTCTTCAGATAATGCTAGTAATATGATTGGAAAGTTTAAAGGTGTAGCATCATTTATCAAAATGCATCAACCAAGTATAATCACCCGAGGTTGTCCGTACCACCTCTTGCATATAGCTGCAAAAAAAGCTACTGAAAAATAATTTGGCTCAGAAATTGAAATGTATTTATTATATATTTTTACTAAATATATAAATAAATAGATATATATTTTTACTTGGAGAAAAGTTCGAAACGGAAGCATAGCTTCAAAGTTGCTCAACAAATTTTGGGACAGAATGCAAAATCTCATAAAATTTTGAAATATTGCAGTACGAGATGGTTGTGTCTCTTTAGAATCTATAACAAGGATTTTGGAACAGTGGGATGCTGTGATAAATTTTTTGGAGATAAACCAGATAACAGTGAGAATGAAGGAAAGAGATTGCAAAACATTAAAAAAAAATTTTACAGTCACCGACCACCAAATTGTACTTGTTATTTTTGAAAAATACTTTGCCTTTGTTTATAACAGTAAATATTAATTTGCAACAACAAGCTCCTTATATACATAAATTGAGAAGAGAACTTTTTGAACTTTTAATGAATTTATTTGTTAGATTCGTCCTAAAACCATCAGTAATTTCTAAAGAAAATGAAGATGTTACTCTAACGTCTATTCCATTTCAGAAAAGCATAGTAAACAAAAAGAAAATGAAAATTTAGTGATTGGTGCGGGAAACAAGACTATATTTAAAAAAATGCCAAGTTGAATGAAAGTGAAGTGAAATCATTTTTCAATTCTGTGCGAGCTTTTTTGTAACTGCATGTTCATATATACAATTGATAAATTTCCACTGAGTGATCCATTTCTAAAACATGCTGAAGTTGCTGACATCAACTTGAGAACTGAAGTCTCATTTTCATCTGTTCTTTACTTGATGAATACTTTTCCATCCATTATTGATGAAAATGTCTAATCAAGTAGAAATTGAATTTTCCATGTATCAAGTAGATGATTTGAAAGAAATTGTAGATTTGCGTATTGATATAGCATGGGGAGAAATTGCCAAATTAAAAAATATGAATGGGTGTATTAAATACAAAGTATTGCCTTCTGTAATGCTTGCTGTCTTAATAATACCTCATTCAAATGCAGCTTGCGAAAGAATTTTTTCTATTGTTAAAAAAAATCAGACGGAATTTCGACCAAATTTAGGTCTTAAAACTCTTGAAGCAGTTTTGATTGAAAAAATAAATATGCAGGCAAATGAAGAACTGTGTTATAAAAAAAACATTCTCAAAATCAGAACTTAAGCTTGCTAAGCATGCTACATATAAATCTTTGCATTCATAAATTATGCGTATTTTGTTTAATACTTATATGTATCATTCTTGGTTATTTAAATTTTATTTCCCTGTAGAAATCATATCCAGAATAAAGATATGATTTATAGCTTCTGATTTTTTCTATGATTAGTAGTGATTTGAAGTACTTTTTATTAGTGAATGCTTGAGGAGTTAAAAGAAAATTTCTAATTAAATGTGCATATAATTTACAAGGTATATTTTTAATTATTCAGTTTTATATGTATATGGATTTTAAATGTAATAAAATTGATTACAATTAATTATTAATTTAAAATTAATGAATGGTTAATTACAACATACGCTACGCGCACATTTTCAAAGTTGTAAAAATGTCGTTCGCGCGTTGACTACTGACAAGGTTTGCTGAAGGTTGGAGTCTATGCATTTTCTCACTTGGTACCAACAAAATATCACCAGGAATATGAATATAAGTAAATGATAAGTGGTGTTTCTGCTTATTTAATAGATTGGATTCAGTCACTAGCAAGCCAAATCCTAAATGTTATCAATGACAGGTAGACATTAGTTAATCACTTAGTAAGTGATAATTACAACTGTTCACAGCAGCTGAAATAATAATTTCTGCATTCTACTTATGATACAATAGATATTCGATTAAGTGGATTAAGGTACTGACTTTAGGTTAGGTAAAACAGGTGACCAGTTAATTCATAAAAGAATATAAGATAGTAAAAACTTGTAAATCAGTATTAAAAAATATATACAAATCTTAATGAAGCATTTATTTGTAGTTAAAATATATGTAATTAAATATTTCACACATTCAAAATAAGCTCATGAATTGACCACTATCCACAGTGTACAGGTATGTCTACCACTGACTGAGTAAGAGCTTTAGATCTTTAAAAACCAATTAGCTGTGCTCTTATGCTATTTTACTTTCTGGGTAAATTAATATCTTATCTCTGCGTACAGTACATTCTAAAGTTTCTTAGCAATGGGAGTGAAAATATGATTCATGATGGGAAAAAACATCACAAAAGAAATTTTGTTATTTCCTTATGATTATGGCTCTCAGTAAAATGAGAACAAATAAGGGGTGGCTAGCATAGTTATGAAGAGAAATAAATTTTTCTGTCATTCTTCAGAAAGTTATTTTAGTGTATTATTTATTTTATATGTTTTGAGTGTATACAAAGGTATTAAACAAAATGTTTCCATTAATTTAGATTTTAAGCAGTAGTAATTTGATAATGCATACATTAACGTCTACATTTAAAAAAATGTTGTGCTGTGTATTTTGAATATTCTAATGTTGATTGGGTACTTATGTATTATCCTGTTGACCATGAAATTTGGCTACCTTTGAACTATGAAAATTCGTAAAAATTGTAAAAAGATTGTGCTGATCGTTCCTGTGGAATTCTGTGCCGCATTTTTGGCTGCAGCTATTACAATAAAATATTCTTCACTCTTTCAGCACTTCACCAAGTAGCCATTGCTATGAAACTATTTGACCCAATTTACACTTTGTAAAAAAGCTTTCATCGGTTTCTACTATTTTTATGCCTTCCAGGTTTGCTGGAAGTTCTGTTTAGAATGCTGTGAGTGCAAAGCTCCTGCAGGTGATTGTTTCAATCTCTTCTTGTTTTGTGGACCATATCCAGCTGTCCTTTCCTCATTCACGATGTTAATTCTCTTGACTAGCTATAAGTGTACTGCAGTGCAGTCACAAAGTTATTCTACAGCTCTCAGACTCATGTTCTTCAAATGCAAGAAGTAAATACAGCAGTAACAGTTAATTTATATTCTTGTTAATAAAAATAAAAGGTGGCTTACTGAGATACAATCGAGGTTACAACAGATGAAAGGGCAGATGTTATGAGTGTATTGTGACAGCAGGCTTATGCATAATATATGCTAAATTGTACTGCTTGGTAACAGTTTCAAGGTTGACAGGGTAATGTGTAAGTATTGTTGAATGCTTTTATGAATTTGTTACTTTTTATTATTCTAGCCTGCCATGATATTGATCAATGGCCTTTACCTTTACCTGGTGTGCCTCTCAGTCTTCCTTTAATTGGTAATGTTTTGCAGGTAAAACAATGTTCTACTGTTTACATTTCATAGTTGTGTTTAACAAATTTTTAGAAGAAACTTAGACGTTTACTGCATAAAGAACAGGCTGCATAAAACATTCTGCATAAGAGCAAAATACTAACACTGTTGGAGAGGGTAAAAAATATTTTGTGTTGTTAAAAAATAAAAATTCCATCAATGTTGTCAAAAATGGGTAGTAGTAGTAATAATAATAATAGTAATAGAACTTTCATCACCTGCAGATTTTCTATATTATTTTTGTTATATTTATATCCATATTCAACTCTACAATCTTTAAATCTTAGTGTATTGCATATACACCATGCACACAAAAGTCCTTATATGGCCTTTCTCTTCACAAGAAAAGTTGATCTTTAATTTTTAGAAAATCAATTTTGTAAAAATTATGAAATCTAGTTCTTTACACAATCTCCCAGTCCCTGTAGATACATTTAGAAAAAAATTACGTTCCTTATAAAAAATGAAGTACAAAAAATGTAACTCCATTTGACAAATTTACTGAGATACTTAATTCTAAAATCAGATATCGTATTCAAGGGCCATAAACAAATTGGCCATTTTTAGATAATTAAAAATAAAATATCAATAAAAAAGATATTAATTGAATTAATCAGTATGTCTACATAAATTGTCTTGAAAAATATCAGTATAAATTTTTCTAAAAGAAAGATTTTATTGACAGAATCCTTCAGAATTTTTGTTCTGGAAGATATTGTCACTCTTCAATATTGGCACAAAGCCAGCTTCTAACATTATTTGCATATATAAAAAAGGAAAACTATTTATTTTTTGTATGATTATTTATCAGATTGTGAGCCTAAATAATAAAACTTAATGAAAATATTAATAAAACGTTTTTAGTGCTTGAAAACTTAAAACTTACTTGTGTGAAAATTCTTTTGGTGTACCAATTGTAACAAAATTACAAATAAATGAATGTATGCTGTAGTAAAACACCACAGAGTATCATTGAAATATATTGAACAAAAAACAAATCAACCTGTATTTATTCTATTTATTGAACTCACCTCTGAAAGAAAGTTGAAAATGTCAAAAATATCTTCAATTTTAAAATCAAATATTGGGGTCACTTTTTGTTATGTGAGAGCCAAACTCACCCCTTTTTTAAAAAACTTTTTTCAATAAGTTTAGAGTTTTCCTGAACGTAATAGAGAGTGGGAGACCAGATTAAAAGTTACGTCCTTTTTTTTTAGTTTAATGCTAAAACATGAATATTTGCAATTTTTAAAAGAATTTTGCAATTGGAAGAGTACGACCAACAGTTACTAAAATAAAGAAAGACTTTTATTAACATCACATTTATGAATTGTATTTGCATATAAATATCTGGTTGTAACAAAAGTTCTCCGCCAAAAACATCCTTAATAAAGTTAGAGGAGGGAAAATGAAAACATGAAAGCAGTACCTTTAGTGTGGGTAGTAGGCCATGAGTCCAAAAACAGATCAACCTAATTTTGGATGTTTTGTGCAGAATGGAAGATAGTGCCAGCAAGATTTAGCTGTAGGTGCGAAAAAGGTAGAAATCCGAAGGAACGATGTCTAGGCTATATAGTGGGTGTGGCAAAAGATACCATTCAAGTCCATACAGAGTCCTAGGCAGTAAATATCCTTACTGAGTGCAGAACAACCCTCTTTTCAGCTTGTGTTGTTGGAGTAAATCCACTTTTGATCACAAATGATGATCCTGTCCAGAATTTTTCCTTGCATTAATATTTGAACAGATTAGTACAGTTTGGAACATGTCTATCCGTATCTGCTTGAGTCAGCTCATGTAGCACCCAGCAATTGAACTTATATGTCAAGGTTATATGATGCAGAGCATGATTGATGGACATAGCACTAATGTTAAACTCCTTAGCAAGCTCTGGAGTGGTTGCATACTGATCTTCTTCCTTAAGTTCTCTCAGGCAGGCCTCATCAACATCAGTATGCCAGCCAGATTGCTCTGCTTCTTGAATGTCATAGTCCTTGTTTTTGAACTTTCCATACCAAACTTTCACAGTGTCATATGATATGGCATTAGTACCTAAAGCAGTATGCATGATTTGGTAACATTCTGTAGTTGACATTTTGTAACAGAACTGGAAGTAAATGGTGGTTCTAATCTGGTAGCATGATAGTTCCATTTTAGAAAACTTGTACTTAATAGTAATTATATTTTTTTACAAGTTTTGCAACTCAGTGTTCTAAAGCAAGTCTCTTTATTTGAAATGCCAAAATCGCTTGACAAACTATGATTAAACACACCAATATGAACTGTTTGTGCGGACTATATTTGCGGTGGCAGGAAACTTTCGTTAAAATGTGGTATGGTGTAGTATATAAATTTGCAAGCAAAGTGTATATGTGTCATTATTCACTGATTTCTAGTGAATATTTGCATATTATAAAGTTGTTAATATATATATTTAAATACTTGTTTTTTCATCAATTTCCCATTATGCGAAAAAGCAAAATCATTTGTTAGCTATATTGAGAATCGTAACATTTTGCAACTTTTATGGGTTGTCAAAGCCTTTCTGATTGAAATGTTGTTAAAAATGAATTGCCTGAATTTATGAATATTTTCATGGAGAATTAAGAAGTATTGTTTGTCTTTGCTATTTTAATTTTTAGTAGCTTATTACTACTATATTTATGTCAAAAAGGGGAAAATGTGAAAGAGAGAATTATAGTGATATTCATCAGTTATATAGATCTAGCATTTTTCACCTGCTTATATCATTAATTATAATTTAATAAATCAAACTAAGAAAATTCATTACATTAAAGCAATTCATTATGTAAATGGAAGATTACTGAACACAGGTAGTTATGGAAAAAAATTATATTTTTAATTGAAAATGAGTAAAACATTATTTGGCAAAAATCTCATTTCAGCAGATGGGCCTTCAGCGACACATTATCATTTTATTTATTTGCAGCTAAATAAAAGATTAAGTACCACAACCAGAGAAAGAGTTCAAAGAATTTTTGAGAACTTGCTAGTAGGTAAGAATGATACTCTCTGTAATGAAAAGAAAATGTAAAATAATGAGAAATAAAGCAAGTTATGCCATTTAGAGATAATCAAACAGAATCAGATTAAGATTTGAAGTGTTTATAGATTGTTGGAAAAGTAAATTGGAATTTAATGTGATTCATTAGATTATAAATTTTTTAAGGAGAGCAAAGCTGAATTTGTAATTTATAGAACAATAATATATTGATTTATTTGTTTCCTTTTTAAAATGACATTCATGTTTCTTTAGGCAAAATTTTCCAATGTGTTTGGTTTGACGGGTGAACTCACTCTGATAAGGAATGTTATAAATTCTCTTAAAAATCCATGTCAGAAATTATATCTTTAAAGCTAGAATTGTGTATTTTATTGGCAAGAAAAAATTAACTCAGAAGTGTAAATTATAATATAAAATGCAATTTTTGTGATTGATTGAAAACAATTAAGTTTCTGATTTCTGACTGAATGAAGGGATTTTTTTTAAGGACTGAAACTGTTTTTACCTTTTTCATTAATAATCTTAAGATGAGAAAGCTCTTCCAGTTATAATGGCTTTAAAATAGCTTAGTTATTGAATTCTGAAAGGGGTTCAATTAAGATAAAATTTATGGCAAATAATGTGATTTAATCATTTTCACAATTAGGAAACCATGAAATTGGCTGCATAGGTTTTTGTGTTTTTTCACATATATTGTGAATATTAAAAATAATAATGTGAGTTCTCTAATAATAATGCAAGTTTTCTTAGCCAGCACATTGCAAAGTTATCATTTCTAAGTCAGATAAACTTCATGTGGTTTCTTTTAGTCAGCTTCCTAACCAATCATTGCAGTGTCTGAACTAAAACCATTTCAGGTGATTTTTTTTTTTTTTAATTGAGAACTATTATTGCCATTTAAATTTATAAGTAAGTAAAAAGTATGATTAATAATAAAAGTATGAATTATAATTTATGTTACAAAAGTATGTATTATAATCTGTGTTTTTTAAATAATTACCCACTTTTGCGGCCAGCTGCCTAAAATACTTATTATGAAAAAGAAGAAAACATAGAATGGCTTTATTGAGTCTAGAGTAGTTTCACTGATCCATCTAATAGTGAATGAGATGAAGAATGCATTTATTGCTTTTAAATCACTTGCTTTGTTAATCAGTAACAGACATATTAACATTTGGAAGAAAAAGGAAATATCTTGCCCTTTGCTGAATGGTACCACATTAGTATATAGAAAATAAATATGTTTTAAGTAGTGGTGATGCATTTCTGTTAAATTGCTGAGTTTTCTGATTAAAGTTGAAGCATAAATATCTTATGCTTTTCTGAAAAGCAACATTATTTCTTTTAAATCTGAGTTTCTTGACTAAATTTGAAGTATAAATATCGTATGCTTTGCCAAGTGACACATATTGCTTTTAAATCGTCTACTTCGTTAATCAAGAATTCATTAAATTCACAAAAAGTAGGAAATAAAAAACAAACAAAATTTCAGCTTCAACTTGTACATTCGGGTGGAGGGCTATGTGTGTTGTTCAGAATTTTTTGAGTGCCAGTCATGTGGTGATCGATTCTGAAAGAATAGTTCCAACATAACCTATGCATCTCATAAAAGGTGACTAAAATAGTACCTAGTATTCCGGGGTATAGCCTGCGACTGGGGATTATATTTGGGCTGGTTCTCCAGGTTCTGGGTCGGGCATTAGGCTAACAAAAAAATCCTATTCTTATGAAATTAAAGGAAGAATTTTCTGGACTGTCTATGCAGAGGCAACTTGATACAAGTGGTAAGATAGGGAATGAAAATGGGTTCAGACCTACCACTGGTGGGCGTAGATCATGACTCGGATGATAATGGGTCAAGACCGATATTTTTTTTGCTATGGAACATGATATGGTGATGGCCAGTTCTTGCTTTCCATACAAAACTATTCACAAAATGACTTGGAGATCTCCAGATTGTGACGCTTTCAATCAGATTGACATGCCTTAAGTTACACCAGACATGCCTCAGGCATATTGGATGTCATGTCATATAGTGGAGCGAATTTTGATTTAGACCATTACTTAGTAATGATGAAAATCAGAGCTAGAATTTCTAATTACTGTAAAAATCAGGAGATGAAATTAGCGAAATTTGACTGTCTACTGTTAAAAGAGAAATATATAAATCAGAAAAATGAATTTGAAACTCAATTAAAAAACTTCGAATTGGAGGAATTAAAGTATATAAATGAAAAAGAATACTTTATATAGTTCACTTTATAGAACACTTTAAAGATGGTTCTGTCTCAAGTGATAAGAGTGACATTCTGCAGAAAGAGAACTTGGATGAGCTGCTGAATTCCTATTGCATATAGAGAATAACGAAATAGCAAGTAGAAAACTAGGGTCTATTGATCCATCTTCTCTGGAAGAGCTGAATTATGCTATAAAGAAATTAAAAAACAACAAATCTCCTGGATCAGAACTATTTAAAGCTGTAGGACCTAGTTGCATTCTACTAATCAAGGGCTTAATTCAACTCATCTGGGATTATGAGACACTCTCACTGGAATGGAAACTTAGTACCATCTGTTTGATACACAAAAAGGGAGATGTGCTTGATCACAGTAATTATAGAGGAATTAGTCTTATGTGTATATCCTATAAAATACTTTCAACTATTTTTGTTAGCAGATTTTTTTACTTATGTTGATCAGTGATTGTCAGTGCAGCTGTGGGGGTGGGGGAGGGAGATCGACTATTTAGCAGATGTTCATTGTAATGCATATTTTTGAAAAATGCAGAGAATTTGAATCAAAACACACAATCTTTTTTTATTGCTTTCAGAACTGCATATAATTGCCTTAGTGGGGAATTATTCATTGAGGCCATGCGTGAACTAAATATTCCAGGAAAACTTATTGCATTGGTGGCTTTGACTCTTAAGGAAACTAAGATATAAATTAGTTTACAAGGTGACTTTACAGAACAACTTGATGTCAAGCATGGAGTGATACAGGGGATGCATTGTCAGGCCTCATGTTTAATATTGCACTTGAAAACTTATTAGAGATTCTAGGATCTTACCTGACTTACCACTTTGTCATTTAGAAATTAGTAGCTGTAGATTAGGAAATGTCTACAGTTTCATTTATCTGGGAATAGAGAACTGTAAAAATGAGATGACATCTGAAATACTTAAAAGAATCCCTGCTGCAAATAGATGTTTTCATGTCCTGAAGAGCTATCTTGTTTTCTCAGAACTAAACTACTTCTTTCCAAGAGTCTTATATGTTATGTTTCTGATTTATGCATTGGAAATTCGGGTGCTGATTCCACGTGATGAGGAAGCTTTGGAGGTTTTTGAGAGAAGAACATTCTGTTGCATACTTGGTGGGGGTCCAGGTGAATGGATCATGGAGAAGAACATCTAATGTAAAGGTATACAAGATCAATAGACAATCTGATGTAGTAAAATTTTTCAAACTACAAAGACTGGTCATCTGGCCAAAATGCATGAAGATCGCTGTTGTAAGAAAATCTTTCTGGCAAAGTCCATTTGAATCAGACTTTGGGATAGACGCCGGATGAGATAGATCAGTTGTGTTGAAAATGATCTCAAAATTCTAAATGTCAAAAACTGGAAATCAGTTGCCAAAAGCAGAGATGCCTGGAGAAGACTTCTGCAGAAGGCTAGGGCACATCCTGGGCTGTTGAGCCAATGAAGAAGAAGAAGGTGCTCTGTTTTTCTACAGTGAGAGGAACATACATACGTTCATACATATTCTTCATTATTTAATAGCAGAGCAGATTTTTTTTTCTATGTTTGCTTTCTTGCAATGGTATTGAATAACTGTGTCAACATCTGATGAGCAACATATCAGCTGATTCATTGTTTTGTTCAACAAAATATGAGGCAGCTTGAAACAGCAAAGCTTTTTAAACTTCTCCTGAAACATAGCAGTTTCTTCTGTTGTTAAGTTAAAAAGTTAAATTTTCCCCATTAAAAATGTGCAATGTTCAAACAAAATATTGTTATAGGAGTTGTTTTTTTTTTAAGCAAAGTTTTGCTGCTTTGTTTCTGTCTAATAGCTATAAGAGTTTATACTTTGGTTAAATGAATTTAGGTTAAGCGAAGTTTGGTAAAGTTATAAAGTATTTCTCCCACCTCCTTAGCATGCCTTTGTAGTGTAGTGGTTAGCATGCTCGGCACGTATTCAAGATGTCCGTGGTTCGACTCCCGGTGAGGACATTGCTCATTTTTCATTTCTCCTTCTTCAGAATAACCTAATGTCTCTACAAAGTGAGGTTTTAACAATCTTTGTTTTGCATTTTAAAAACTGAGTACAGTCTGTAGAATTGTATGCAAAAAATATTATTGTTTATTTATTTTGTATATTCTGTTTTTACAGATTCGTATACCTAGTCGAATGGATAAATCGATTCCATCTGCAAAAGATGCAGAAGCAGAAAATTCACCTGTATGTAGATTCTTTATTAAATCTCATCATTTAGTCACATGAACATCTTAATTAAAATAATTGTAATCATAATTTTGAATTTATTGCATCATAAAATAATTCAGTGCATTATATTACACATAACATGTCTTTTTTATTTGCAATGGAAAGTAACTCTTTTGGTAAATTTTAAAATAAAGTTATTTTTATTTGTTTCATAAATTTCTAACATTGGACTTTTTTTAAAACTTGAAATTAACTACTATTTATTCTTCTTTATGTATAATTTTGTAATTTTTTTGCATTTATTCTTGTGTATATGTACTCAACTGCATATACTTAGTCTATGGACAAGTAAATAGCTTTTAGCATTTTGATGAATTCCAGAATTTAAAGTTTATAAATATTAATTTCTTTTGTATGAAAAATTGCTTTTGTTATGTTTGCTGCTGCTTGTAACAGAATATCTGTTTTATGTTATTTGCATTTTTCTTATTATTTCTTTTAATTTGTTTGTTTCTTTTAAACTACTAGGATGAATAAGTGTTAATCTTTTTTTCTTTCACACTTTATGTAATGTAATTTTTCAAGTGTTAAGATTCTGTTGAGTTAGTCAATTAGCCTTTTTTTTTTTTTTAATACACTAGAACAGTGTTACCATCCCTATGCCCTGGAAGCACCATTGCACCTGCCGATTGTTTAACATGTGCCTGCTGCTGTGCGATCACAATAAAATATTTTAGTTTTCAATAAAATTCTATGTGAAAGTTTTCTCATTTTTAATGAAATAGAAATTGCACACAGGTATTATCACAAAGCAAAATATGACTGATCTCTTTTTTATATGCATGTATTATTAACTCTATACAATTATAAATTCACCTCGGAAATGTAAATGGTACCTACCATTTAATCGATATCCTGGAATGTGCTCTTAGGGACAAAAAAAATTGGGAATTGCTCTAGCACCTCGACTAACCAAGTATCTGTTAACTGAACTGGCAATCACTTTAAGGAAATCATAGGCAAAATGTAGTAACATTAGAATGGGTACAATAAAAATCAGTAACATTCATATATTCTGTTAGCAGAACTTTTAGACTTGCTTATTAGTGACAATGTAACATCAAGTGATTCTATTGTTTGCAGTATGGCACCAAAGTAGAGTTTCTATTTATTTATTATTGAACAGCATAAGAATATTTACTATATACATAATGTACTATTATACATGAAATGACAAAATTTGGAATTTGTTTGTATTTTTGTATATTAGATCATATATCAGTGAAATAAATAGTTTGTCTTCTTCCCATTTTATTTCTAGTGAGAAATTTTATACTTTTGTTAGAGAAAATATAGTAATAGTGTGTCAAAAATAAGAGTTTTAAGTGTTCCCCCCCCCCCAAAGAGAGATGGCGAACTTGCTGAAAAGTTGTTACTGTATGCATCTAGGCAGAAGTTAAGCATAATAATGAATATATATAATTTATCTAATGTAGTAGTAAGTGAAATAAACTAAACATGAGTTTTATAATACCTCTGGAACTGGGGAGAAACTGTTTGGAATTGCATAAATTTATGTATTTTTTAGATATTGCAATGAAATTTGTTTTTCTTCATAAAATAATAATTTCAATTACTAAAATTTTCCTTCAGTACCTAAAAACACAGTTGTTTCTTCTCACTATAATATGTTTAGAACTCAAGATATAATTTTGGTATTTATTAATATACACACTGCATTCTGGAAAGTTTTAGAATTAAGTTCAAGCAAAATCAAGAAGTGAAGAAAATATTACTGTTTTTTTCCCTCAACCTATAAATATACAATACTTGCATATAGTGTATATGATGTTTGACATATTCACATAGCTGCTTGATTCCATTACTGAATTTATCTTTTGGAATGATGTTTAAGTCTCTGATAATTGTTACCTGAATCTCTTGAATGCTATTAAAATAATGATTATTGAGGTGAGACTTTATTTTAGGGAAGCGAAAATTTCTAAATGCCAGATCTTATGAATAAGGGATATTGCTGAGAAATCATGATAATATTCTTTGCTAGAAATTGCTTGATGAGAATGCAATTGTGTGACAGCACATAGTAATGCAACAAAAGCTCGTTATTCAGTTGAGTTTTTCCTAGCCTTATATCCTGAATGTTCTTCAGGAGTCTGTTCATTACATCTTGTTGAAATATTTGGTTCTTTATATGTTCCTTAAAAGCAAATTCTCTGTGAGTTATCCTGCCTATAATAATAATAATAATAATAAAGTAATAAATGTGTCTAGCTTGGTTATCAAGATTTCTGAAACCTAATTTTCTGTGTGAGCTCTCTCCAGCCCAAGCAGATGGTTGCTGTTTTGTCTTAGAATCATGAGCAAAGCACCAAGTGTCATCTCCAGCAGTTATTAGAAAAATTTAAGGCCAGTGTCTGCTATTTTCATTAAATCATTACATGCAGATATTTGATCTTGTCCCCCCCCCAGGACAAAACAAGAACAATCCTACAAGATCATCAAATGTTAGTGTCATCATTGAAATCATTGAAGTTAAGCTCATCAACTGTCATTCAGAGAGACAGGTAAAAATTTTTTCAGCAGCACTTGCTGAATATTTTCAATATTCTCCTCTGTTTAATTCTGTAGAGGGCAACCACTCCCAAGATTATCATTATCTTTGCCTCCATCACAGAATTCTCTATAGCAATGAAAAATATTGGATTATGTTATTCAAGTGTCTCCATTGCTGTTTTTTCGACTTTACAACAAACCTTTTCCATTCTATAACAGCTAATGTTTCCTGGATCAAACCAAAGGATTAAATGCATTAAAAATTATGTCTGTAAGCACACAGTGTTGTAGGGAAAATGCTATAATAATAAATGCTGTCAATTATCGTTTCCCAGGTTTGATGGAATTTGTTAAACAAGTAGTCTTAAAAAGTTTATATTGTGTATATATGTATTTATATTCTACGTGCATGGACAATAATAACTTCACTACTTCTTTGTAGGTTACATTTTATGAAAAGATTAATATTCCTCCTTCACATGAAATGGATGTATTTCAGTAAGTGAAATTTGTTTTTTCATGTATTGGTGTGCTATCTAACACAAATTTTCTTATGGTATTCATGTCTGAAGAGGAAGGTATATTCTTCATAAAGAGGCACTTTTTTATCATTTATCATATTAATTTCAGAAAATGGAAGAATAATTTTTATTATTAATGCATATATAGAATGGCTGATTGCAAAATGAAATGTTGATACCTCTAATAATAGCACACAAAGGGATTATGTAGATATTATTTCATAGCTCAGTTTGAGGTTTTAGTTGATATAAGTCATTCCATAAGATAACAAGATGTATTGTATTGCAGGCATTGTATGAAAATCATTCATACATAATCATTTGTGGGTTATTTCATTTTCAATGTTTATTGTGTATCTTGAATCGATGAGTATGAATTTAATGAAATAATAGACAAGTTTTAAGCAGCTCTAAGAATTGTACAGTACAAAATCCAGATGTCTAATATCCAGACCAGCAGCAATAGTTTTTTTAGAAATTTTTTGTGAAACAAATCAGTTTTCAAGAGTAGCATTGGCTTTAGCTTATGCTTAATGTTTCATGCATGTGCAATATTTTCAGGGTTTGTATGGTCCTTAAGAGTCCTTAAAGGTCCTTAAATTTTTTGGAATCAATTTTTGGTCCATAAAATTCCTTAATTTTGGCCAAAATCAGTAGAAGGTCCTTAATTTTAATCATCTGAAATTTCTGTCTATTTTTACAACTGCCATTTTGAGTGTGAATTAGCATTTTGGAGGAATATTTTTGGCGATTCACTGACGTATATGGTTATCTTTTGAATGAGTTCATGGGCTATAATTTGTTTCTGTCTCTAATATTTACTCGAGTTTCATGGGATACTTGAATTTCTAAGCAAGAAGTGAAACATAAGCATTTCAAAATTCATTTTTCGTAATAAAGAGCTTTTAAACATTTTTCGCTTTTCGGGATGGGAATTCTTTTATTAAACAATTCTAAATTTGGCGACTTGTCAACATTTTGGCGATTTTAAGATCAGTTTCTATAGAAAATTTTTAATTCCGAAATCTGAGAATTTTTCGGCGATTTTTTTAAAACATCATAACATTGATAAATTTCATTAAAATAATGGTAATTTATTGGAATTATATTTAAAAAATAACATTAAAGTTAAAAATTTTTATTTTTGCTATCATGTTATAAAGTTTCATTTTGGCAACTTATACAATATTTTGAATCTGAAAAATAAACAAGGTATAATGCTGTAAAGCATAATTTGAGAAACAGCTCTTAGCAAAAGCAAAATTAGCTATGTTTTTCATAGTAAGCGTTTTTCCCATGTAATTGTCTCAGAATATTCAAAATTCTCAGAAGATGCATCAGTTTTCTCTATAAAATTAATTTTACACTTTTTATTTTTTTTTCCAAAATATTTCTGGCTTTTTGCTGTTACAGAATTGGTTGGGATGATTTTTCTTTAGTATTTTTGACATTGCAGCTTGAAAAATTTAGAAGGATTTGAAGGCAAGATTTATAGACCCATGGTTCTAGAAGATTCGAGAAATATGTGACAAAATGAAAAATGTCTCCATGGTATTAACATGTAATGGATATATTTTACAGAAAGTTTGCGATGAATTTCTGACTCTTTGGAGAACGTCTGGAAGAACAATGAAGACATAATATTTGAATGTTTGATTTCTGATACTAGAATCCTTTTCTTAACATGTTTATCTTCCCTTTATTTTCTCTACTTTTCACTAGACTCAAGCATGGAAAATATCAAAAATGCTTCTAATCTTATCACTTGGGCAGGCATTATAGAAAGGGATTTAGGGATTTTTTTAATAATAAAGAAATTGAAAGCTTACAATTTAAAAGATTCTCTAATATGTCTTAATGCATCATACACAGAGCTGGCACTAGGCATTATCTCATCTGATGCAATCTCTGTGGATCCTAAATTCGACTGCATAGTACCTTTCTAAATTTTGCTTCCAACGCCTGCTCTAAATTCTAAAAGTTTTTCCATTTCTAGATTTTGTTGTTTGGTGTGTCACTAAATTTTAAAAATTCTGCCACACCAGCTTTGTAATCGGCCTTTATCATGTATATTTCATATTTCTTCTGAATTTCATATTACTTAAATTAAATTAGTCACTTTTGTCTCTAAATTCTAAATGCATTTAGTGTTTTTTAGAAAAACAGAAATCTTTAATTAAATCCAAAAATTCTAAAATGGAAAAGGAAACATGTTGAAGGTAACTGAATAAAAATTATTTACTTCAAACATATGTGTAGTTACTATGTAAATTACCCAATTGTTTATGATGTCAGCCTTTATTAAAATTTCTCATTTCCTTTGTCATATGATAGAGTTACTGAGCGAGATTAAATTAAAATTAAATTGTATAATCTTTTGACCACTAGTCCACATTTTTAGTTTGAATTTGACTGTTCTTATTTAATTTAACGTCACCATAAGCTGTAATTAATTTTGTTAAGCGTCAAGAACATGCCTTTATGTTCTAAGTTCTTTTTTAAATAAGAGGCTTCTTTAAACCTTTGTCTGATATTGTAGCTACTTTCAGACATAGCGATAATTTGCTTTACGTTTGTTCGGGGGTTTGGGACTATTTAACTTTACCAGATCAAGCAAACCCTCATAGGTACATTTGTGGAGAGGTTGACAAATTTAGGAAGATAAAGCACACAGAAGCTAGCAAGAGTGTTAGCTTGCATATTGAGACAAATCTCTAATCATTGTTAGAAAAGATGCTTAAAGAGAAGGAAATCAATATAAACTAGGCAAAATTTTTGAGAAGGCTTCAAATTAAAATGATGCATAAATATAAAAAATGCTTTGTAGCTTTTATTGTGTAATTATTCTAATATCGTTTAAGAATCAGTGTCATAAATTACATGTATTTTAAACTGTGAAATTTAATTAGATTTTAATAGGGCTTTTTTAACAAATATTATTAAAAAATAAAATTTAATAGTGGCCATGTAAATCCATAATGACTAAGGTTACCTATTTATCTAATTTAATTACTTATTACTAACTGCTTACCCTTAAAAATTATCTCTACATATTAAAGCAAGTTATTGAATTTCATTAATACTTGCTGTGTTCACAAGATAAAACACAAAAATGTAGAAATTCAAGTAAAACTTATTCTTTGCTTCTAGTAAGACTTAAAATAATACAAAACAACTTATTACCTTTGGTGCTTGAATGGCTTATTGGAACCTTAAAGCATATTAACTCAGTTACAACCCCTGGAATTCTGCACAAAGCTATGACACTAACTGCATCAAACAGAGCCTGACTAACTTTCAACACTTGCTAACCGTGCCTACATCAGGCCTTTCAAGTTCGTTCTAATCAGCAGGTCTCTCTTTAGACAAGCAGCAGCGGTGATAACATTCAGTCTTTTGTTATGAATCATGCTGGTTATGATCTTACGTCTCTTTTTAACCTATGCCATTTGACACTAAATCTACCTGCTATTTACTAAACCTCTAGATCAGCAGTTCTCAACCTTTTGACTAACATGTACCATCTAAACAAAAATTGAAAACCTTTAGTACCAACACTACAAAATACTACTACCACCACCAATCTTGAACAAAGCTCAGATTGCATAAATTTACGAGTGTTCGAGAAAAAAACTGAATCAGGATGTTGGGATTATAATTTTTGAAATAAATAGTTAAAAATACTTTGCTTCTTTGTGTGCCACTTATTTTTTTCTTGCGTATCACCGGTTGAGAACCTCTGCTTTAGACTGATTAAGTATGTGACAAAATGAGACACACACACAACACAAAAAAAAAAAAAAAAAAAAAAAATCGACATAAAGCTAACTATTAGTAAAACGTAAATGTCACTTATCTTCTTTCAAATATGTCCAGCCTATTATAAGTGTAAAATAGTTAATGCTACTTGATAAACTGCATGGAGTTTATTTTATTCTCAAACTTATTAATAATTATGTTAATTAATTCATGTTTAGTAGTAATGCATACTACTTAGGGATCTATTTTATTTTTAGGATGGTATTACAAAAGTGAAATTCAGGCTTAGAATAATATTTTTAATTGAATTTATTCACTTCCCATTTGCTCATAGGTGCTTAATTTTTTTCATTAATGGTCCTTAAAAGTACTTAATTTCCATGTGCAGAAATGTGTATGAACCCTGATTTTTTCATAATACAACATGTAAAGAGACTCTTACTTTCACATTGGCACTAAATAAAACACCTTCATGATGAAAAACCACAAACATTTATAGCATAAATCTCTGCAATTAATAATTTGGCTCTAAAGGTATGTTTTTTGCTTGGCATGTATCTCAAACTAAAACACTTTATCAAAGTTCATCGCTGATTTTTACGTCTACTGAATAACTTTTCCTAATGTCAAACTGGTGAGTTTTTATATATATATAAATTATTTGGTGCTTTCATCACTAAATGACTATCAATTTATGGCAGCTTGAGAAATGATTCATGCTACCATGTCTAAAACAGATTTTCTTTTTGTAAAAGTATTAGTAACTGAGTATCAAACAACATGGTAATATTTTATATTGACATTAAGCTTGGTGATGATTACAGATATTAGCCAACTATGCAGTGAAGTGATGAGTATGTTGATGAGGAGAAATTTAACAGTAATTTCTTTCCATGTGAAAAAAGTAGATTTTGTAAATGGTATTCATAGGCCAGAAGATTAAATTTAGTGTTGTTTAATATAGCCTGATTCTTTTTTCAGATAAGCCTTAAGTATATGTGGGAGTTTATTTATTCAGGATTCAAATGAGCCTTAAGTGTATGCGGGAAAGAAACATGAGCATAATAAATAACTAAGCTAATCCAGTAATTCAGGCTTAAATTCTTTGGTGCATGATAGCAGCAACACAAAATTTAGTGGAATAGTTTGTTTATAGTTTCCAACCTCATTATACATTGCCAATAATATATAGTGGACTCTAGACAAGATTTTTAATGACAGTTTCAAATTTGAAGGTTTTTGAATATTACAAACAAAAAGTGAAATTTTCCAATTAATGAAATTTGTGGGGAAGCAGTAATGAGGATGATATAGCAGAAGTTTTCCATTGCAATAACAATGCCACAATCATCAGTCAACTAACTAATGATGAAATCTGTAGTATAATTCTAAATCCAGAATGTATCACTAATTGGTTGTGAAGAAAATGAGAGAGGTACTGAGAATAAAAAAAATTTGATTGACAATTTAATGCCAATTCTCAACATGACAATTAAAGGATCGATTACAAGATTATCTATAAAATTAAAAAGTAAGTATTAACACACACAAAACAACTGAAATAACTTAACATTGAAAGAATTTTTTAATAAAGCAAAAATAAATATTGAGCTTTTTGGGGGGGATTTTGTTCCCCTGAAGGTCACAAATGCTTCATTATTTCCTAAACAATTATTTTTATTTTTAATTTTATAATTTCTACATGCCATCTTACTCCATTAAAGTGATGATCCAAAATCCAGAATCACTGAAGTCCCTACAAGTCAACATCTTTGTTCTTTGTATGAATGAAGCTAGAGAACATCTTAAACTACGGATGATATCAAGCTGGTGAGAAAAACTGTTGTGTGCAAATCCGAGGCTGGCAGTGAACATATGTTCATTGGCACTAGGAATGTCAGGGATAACTTTATACTAAATTTTAATCCTTGACTTCAAGGTCTCTATGCTTCAAAAATTAATTTTCTATAGAAACAGTATTTGTTATTAACCTTCTTATTTAAACTCATACTCAGTGATTTTTTGGAGGGGTGATAGCTGAAAAATAAGGTGTACATTAATAATTTGATGAAAATAACACAATTAAATCAGAATATTTCCAAGAATTATGAGATAAATATTTCAAAAGCGCATTTGGAAGAATGCTGTGCTTTGCAGATGTTTCTATTCAGATGATTTTGTTCATGATGTTAATTTAAAAAAATTAAAGAGGTGCACAATTTTTATTTTCAGTTACTGAAATGAGCAATTTAAAACAGTAATTTCTTTAGAGTATTTATATGCTAAGTTCCATTTCCTCGTTTACTGCCTGATAATGAATGGTATAATTTATTATGATAAAATTAATAGTTACTATGAGAGCTTCATCCCACTGGCCATCTACAGTGGCTTTATTGCCATCAGAAGTATGAATGTATTTTTATGATAATTAACATAATTGGTGATATCGTTAAATAATATAAGCAATAACAATGAAAGATCTGTTAACAATAACATTTCAAAAGCATGTTACTATGCAATAACATTTTCAGACCACGATTACATAAGTGTAATTTACACACTGTTTCTTCATGGATGCAAGAATGGTACCACCAGCATACAAAAAGGATGATAAAAGGATACATTCCATTGAAATTTATTCCAGCTTAATGTTAGCACCAATCTAGCATCAGTCAATGTAATCAGCTGTATAATGTACTTCATCTCAACCAGAGAAATTACCAATGGACTGTGAATAAATCATATATATGGTCAAGACAGGCAGATAATATTTTCAGCTTTATGAAAGAAACTGCATAATGTCATGCATCCATCTCATTATATATATTTTGTGGAGATAAGAGATGGCTTTTTAATTATTTGAGTTTGATCATTTGCAGTAAGCATTGACATATTTAGAATTTTTCTTGATAAGAATGATATATCGTTGTAGATTATAGATAACATTTTCAAAAGTTACGTTCCCCAGCAGTAACAACTTGTAACAGCAGGATAATGCAAACTTCCATAGTTTCTGACAGCATGAAACTAATTCAGTGAATAATTTTTTATATCTAACGAGCTTCGGTACTTAAGGATTAAAAGTCAGTAGACACTTATGAGGCTTGCGGCAGATCTTAGCTATAACAAGAATTTTGTAGCACTGGTATTAATGAAAGTTTCTCTCCACCGCAAAATATCGTCTGTACAAATGGTTCATGCTGGTGTGTTTAATTATATTTTGTCAAATAATGTTTGGCATTTGAAAGAAAGAGACTTACTTTAGAATACTATGTGTAAAATTTGTAAAAAAAATGTCATTATGATTAATTACGAGATGTCTGAACTGAAACTTATCATGCTACTAGATTAGAACCATCATTTACTTCCAGTTCTGTTGCAAAAAGTCAGCTACAGTGTGTACAGCTGTAGATATTAATGTTATATCGTATGACACTATGAAGGTTTGGTACCAAAAGTTCAAAAACGAGGATTATGACATTCAAAAAGCAGAGTGCTGTGGTCAGCCTACAGTTGTTTATGAGGCCCACCTGTGAGAACTTGTGGAAGAAGGTAGGTATGTCACCACTTGAGAGCTTGCTAAGAAGTTAGACCCTTAGTGCCATGCTCATTAGTCATGCTATACATCACATAAACTTGATGCACAAGTTCAAATGCTGTGTGCCATATTAGCTGATTCAAGCAGATAAGGACAGATGTGTTCCGGACTGCAACTAATGTACTCGAATATCAATGCAAGGACAAAATTCTAAACCGGATCGTCAGTTGTGATGAAAAGTGGATTTACTTCAACAACACAGGCTGAGAGGGGGGGTTGGTCTGCACTCAATCAGCCTGCAGCATCGTAAAGCACAGTTAGACTAACAAAATGATCATGCTTTGTAGTTGGTGATATTGTTTTGGTATTATCCACAAAGATTATCTGGGAAAAGGTAAAACCCTTGACAATAAGGTGTACAGAGAGATGCTTGTCCGGGTTGATGCTGCTATCAAGTAAAACATTGGAACTGAGTTCCAGTGCAAAAGGTAATATTCAGTCAAGATAATGCAAAACCATTTGTGTCTGCTGCAGGTACATCTTGCTGGTGCTATCTTCCATTCTACACAGGATGTCTGAAATGAGGTTGATCTGTTTTTGGACTCACGGCCACTAAGTTTCTGGCCAAAGCATTACCAATCTACCAAAATGTTCACAGAAAATCATAGATTTGGGTGGTGATTACTACTCGCACTAAAGGTATTGTTTTCATGTTTCTTTTTGTTGTGGTTGCTCAAGTGATAGTAGGTATTATTTGATTTAGAGAGAACCTGGAACCTGTTATCATCTATCAAACATCCATGAAAGAGATGCATATGGAGGAGACAGTGTCTGTGTTTGAAGTGGTATCTCTTTAGGTGGACGCACAGACCTCCATGTCTTTCCACATAGCACCACGTGAATGCAGAGGCCTATAGAGATTACATCCTTGATGGTTTTGTGTGCCCTTATGCGAGGGCAATATGTGATGATTTCCTGCTACAGGATGACAACTCTAGACATCGTGGATGATTATCTTCAGCAATAAACTAGTGAGCGCATGGACTGGCCACCTCAATCACTGGACCTGAATCCTATTGAGCATATTTGGGATTTTGGGATGTTTTAGGAAGACATGTAGCTGCTTTCAGTCCTCCTCTTCAGACCCTTGCTATGCTTGCAATTGCTTTGCAAGAACAATGGATCTCGCTTCCTAAAGAACTGATAGACTGCACAATTGACATGACAACATCACACATCTTTGTATATGCTGTAAATTTGTTTCTATGGGATATTGTGCTCCATATTGAAGGTAATTTTCCTATACCAAACTGACACATCCGATTTGTTCATTTTATACATATACTAATTTCCATAACACCATAATCATCTGGTAATTTCTTTTCATTTTATTTTGTACCTTCCTATTTTTTTGTATACTGTGGGCCAGTTTTATTAAATTTCATGTGTAACTTTTTGAGTAATCATCATTTTCATGATATTTCCCTTAATTAATGATAACCAGTGTAGTTAGATGTCTATTGGAAGTGCAGCAATTTCACAAAACATATTTAATAAGAGAATGATTGTGGCTGCAGTCATAGAGGTCACCCCATCCAAATTTGATTAAAACACAATTCATTCTTTTATTGGTTTCTTTAATTTATTCTCAGTAAATATGCTTTCAGCAGGTAGTTTGGTTTATTACACTTGCATAGCTTTATCATGCTGTCTACATCATTACTTTTGTTACTCAGTGAATAAATGATCCATGAGTAATATTTGATAAGTAAAGAAAAGTAATACTACTAAAGTTTAAATAAAACATCTGCTAATAATTTATTCAAATAAATGTCAACTTTAGTCAAGTAAAACAGTAAAATGCAACATGCTGTTGTTCTTATGATGGATGCACTTACCATGGTGAAAAGGAAACAACAGACTGTACAGAAAATCCATAATGATTACACTAGCCCCAGCAGCTCTGACCTTATTCTCAGCATGCCTATGTGACACAGATTGTTATGTACTCTGTTTTCATGGCATATATTGATTCTGAAATAATTTATATGCTGAATTTAAAATGCAATACTGCTTTTATTTATAATGCACATAATGGTATATTTCAATATGCAAGTATGATTTATAGCTTAGCTTGGCCAGTATTGCAGTTTTTGCGCTGTACAGAAAATGAAACAAAATTACAGAAACAGTCTGTACAGTTTTTGCTGTGTACAGAAAATGAAACAAAATGATTATGAAGGTATTGCAACCAACTTTTCTTTACACTTATAGATCTGAATTAAATGTTCATTATTCCAACATTTTGCTTTGCGATCCCATTTGGGTTGCAACCCACAGCTTAAAAAACACTGTTTTATATTTTAGTAGACACAATTATAGTATATAATTAATAATTTTATTCCATAGGAGCTTTCTCCCTGTTTTATCTCATGTTCAGTTGCTATGGGAACTTGTTATAACTGCTGAAGTAAGTGAAAGTGGTTTTTTATTTGGTTTATAAATGCATCTACACTCCGCTGATTAATTTTTGAATGAATTGTCAATTTATTTTGCAGTATTTTTTTTATTTTCTTATATACATCTAGATTTTTAAGGCATTATATTGCTTATACAGTCAAAAGTCGTTAATTCGGACACCCATAATCCGGACCTCAAAGCTAAAAACTTTCTGCGCATGCGCCGCATTGACACATGCGCATAGGCGTTTACGTGTGCGCTTAAGACCTTTTACGACTGAGCATATGCGTGCGCGCAAGCACGTTTTATGTATAACGGACGGTATAAGCTAAAATTATCTAATTATCAATTTCAGTTAATGTTGATGATTGCGTTGTTCCTTAATCTTCGAATTGGATCCGGCTTATTATTTTTTGCAGACTGTAAGAGCAATTTTATAAAAGTAAACTTGAACTTTCGATTATGTCAAATAGAGTTTCCGATTCTGGAGCTCCCAAAGGATCGTACAAAACGAAAGTATGTTTCGATGTCCATCAAACAAAATTTGAATTGCTGCAAAAAATGATCAAAGGCATGAAGAATGTGACAGAGAAGTTAGTGAAAACGAAAAAATTTCGATTGACAAGTTAGTCGGTATTCTCGGCACAGTAATTAACGGGACTTGAACAGCGGAACTTTGTAACTGAACAAGAAATTATGTCTGTTTATTGAATTAAAGAGAAAGTATTATCACATAAAATGAAACAACTTACATTGAAAGAAATGTTTATGCAAACAAATAAATATTAAGTTTTTTTTTTTTTTTTTTTTTTTTTTTTTTTTGTAAATTTTGATACCCTTTAGATTATAATTGTTCTTTATTTCATAAATTACGGTTTCATATTTTTAATTTTAGAATTTCTGCATGCCTTCTTATGAGATTTAAACTGATGATCTATAACCCGGAAAAATTGATAATCCGGAATTGCCGAAGTCCCGACGAGTCCGGATTAACGACTTTTGACTGTATGAAGTGCAAATAGTATTGCCAACAGTCAGCAGCTAATAATGCTGTAATCCCCCAAACTTGCTCTCTTCCCTTCCTCTTTTTTTTTTTTTTTTTTTTTTTTTTTTTTTTTTTTTTTTTTTTTTTTTTAAATTTTAGATTGAACTTGAATAAATGTAATTCTGTGTAGCCTAAAATTTCATAAAATGATTGCTATATTTTTGAGTAAAAAGGTCCAGCAGCAAGTGATCCATTTAAAAAATTTTCTAACATGTGAATCAGCCATAATGAACATAAAACAAAAATTAAAAAGCAAGGATTATTATGACTGCATATATGGTTTAATTTCATTCAGAAAATTTTCATGTTTACAGCTAAATTTGTATCCATTCATATTAAGTATGATCCTACTGAATATCCGTAAATAAATTTGGGAGTTTTTTGATTTTCTGCACCCTTACAGAAAAGTTTTGAACTCATTAGCAACTAATTTTTCACAAAGTTAATGTGCGAAAATGGCAGTGCTCTAAGAATTCTATAAAAGAGCAATCAGTTATTAAAATTAAAAGGTACATTGGTAATAAAATCCTTACCTTTTCTGAGAAATCTTTCTTTAACTTTTTTGTGCTGTTATTCTTCTCATAGATACAGCAATCTGTTTTTGCTAAAAAAAAGGAGGGGAGGGGAACAGAAATTTGCACAAATTCGGTATGGCATATAACCTCAGCATCACACATTGCTAGCAATAAACAAAGCGAATAGCTATTGTAAATGAGATATGGCTATTTCTAAATCAATTACAGCAATCTGTTTTTGCTAAAAAACGGAGGGGAGGGGAACAGAAATTTGCACAAATTCGGTATGGCATATAACCTCAGCATCACACATTGCTAGCAATAAACAAAGCGAATAGCTATTGTAAATGAGATATGGCTATTTCTAAATCAATTACAGCAATCTGTTTTTGCTAAAAAACGGAGGGGAGGGGAACAGAAATTTGCACAAATTCGGTATGGCATATAACCTCAGCATCACACATTGCTAGCAATAAACAAAGCAAATAGCTATTGTAAATGAGATATGGCTATTTCTAAATCAATTACAGCAATCTGTTTTTGCTAAAAAAAGGAGGGGAGGGGAACAGAAATTTGCACAAATTCGGTATGGCATATAACCTCAGCATCACACATTGCTAGCAATAAACAAAGCAAATAGCTATTGTAAATGAGATATGGCTATTTCTAAATCAATTACAGCAATCTGTTTTTGCTAAAAAAAAGGAGGGGAGGGGAACAGAAATTTGCACAAATTCGGTATGGCATATAACCTCAGCATCACACATTGCTAGCAATAAACAAAGCAAATAGCTATTGTAAATGAGATATGGCTATTTCTAAATCAATTTCTGCCATGCATTCTAACACTTGTAATTTTCACATTGCATTTCTATAAAATTTGGTTGATTAAGAAATACAACTTCATAGAATATGAATTTCTGTATTATTTGAACAAAACACCATATTTTTGTAGGAATGTGCAATTCTTAAGTTTTCATCAGCTTGCAAATTCCCCAGTCCCGTTACAGTTCATTATGAGAAAAACAAATATAGTCAATGGAAAAAAGCACTAATCAGAAGAATAATGATTAAATTTGTAAAGTGCATATCCATATATACTTAAACAGATGTGTGTTATGCACATGCATAGACTGCCACATAAATATTTTTGGCAACATCATGGACTACCACATAACTATTTGGGTGACATACTGAGTAACCCTGTGAATACATTTTTGCAAAATTTCACTGGGGATGTAGTAAGTATTTAGGGTAATCTTTTCCTTGATAACATTAATATATATTTCAGATTTTCACCTAATATTTTTAAAGCTGTCATAAAATTATTCTTTGACTGCCACCTTTTGAATTCAGTTCTTGAAATTCATTTTTATGATAATTAGTATGTCTTTTCTGCATGTTTTCTATAATAAAATTAATTCAATAATAAAATATAATTTAGCCATAAAAATGCAGCTAATAAACAGTAATCAAAATGTGTTTGTTCACCATTTGTGTACTGTGTATTTGCTTAAGTTCTTATAATCTGAAAGTGGTTCATATCACATTTCAATTTTTGTCTCATGAAATATAAATCAAAATTGTTAACAATAAAAATTTCCAATGGCTGAATATATCTAGTTGTTAACAATAAATATTTCCAATGGCTTCCAGAAGTTATATTTAAATCATGGAACACGATTAATTTCAGCTTAATGAAATTTATACTTTATTTAATAGTTTTATTTTGGGGGTGTGTGATGGCAAGTATAAATGAATACAAAATTAAAGTAAAATTTAAAATTTTTCCTGAAGGAATGAGCAATTGATACACAGTGTATGAGATCAGGAGTGTTATTGATCATTTGTCTTACAAAATAAAAGATTAATTTTTATCACATTTCTGATTGTTTTTCTGAATAGCAAAGAAATTAAGCTGTATTAATTTGCAAGTAAGTTTTATTTAATTTACTTTTCTGCAGAGCAAGACTGGAGGGGGGAAGGTGCTTGTGTATACTCCCATTACTTTAAGAAAATATATGCAAGCTCTTTTTTTTTTTTTTTTTTTTTAATTGCAAAAAAAAAAAAAAAAAAAAAAAAAAAAAAAATCGAGATTCATATTTCAGCAGAAATATCCATTTTACTCTTTACCCATCTCAAATTCATTGGGGCAATTTTTTTCTGTGATGTCCATTATGCATAGATGGAACAGGGCTTTTTTTTTTTTTTTTTTTTTAACAGTTGTGAAATGGATTTTTCACTGATATTTGTCTATTTGTACTTATCTTGCATAACTCAAAAATGTTTAGACATAGAATGTTGAAATTTTGTAAACGGGACTGCTGTAACATCTAATTGGGCACCTCCCCTTTTTTTTATTTAAATCGGCAGTACCAAACATAAGAATCCTTCTAGCTCTCTCTCTCTATATATATAAATACACACACAGGGTTATCTGGAAAGAATTGTCTAATTACAAAATTTAATATTTTCCATAATTGCAAACAAAAAGTCATAATTAATATGTCATTGTAAAGCAAAAATGTTAATTTTTTAGTTTGTAATGTTGTCTTTTCACAATAGGTGGTAACACTGTTGTCTTTAAACTGTTTTGAGATTTTGGAAAGAAGTGGAAATAGCATCTGAGCAGTTTTTGTATGCTCTCCTTTGCAAGAAGTCTGTCAGTAATTACTGTTCAGTTTGAATTTAGGAGAAAGTGCCTTAAAAATAAAGCACTAACATCTCAAGAGTATCAGAAGGTAGTGCAACCAATTCCAGGAAACCGGATGGCTATACAAGGCAAAAATCCAGGGCAAGCCATGTGTTTCAGCAGAGAATGTTGAAAGAGTGTGAAAGAATTTTTTACACAATCCGAAGAAATCGGATGTTTGTAGTAGTCATGGATTTTTGATACCTCATTCTATCATTTGGATTGTTTTGAGAAAAAGAAAGAAATTGCATTTTAAGTCTTAAAAATTTCAAAGAATGAATGCATTGCAGCCTAGATGAGTTGCCTTTTCATGGATGAAGCTATGCAAGACGAACATGTTTCCAATTAACTCTTATTTAGGGATGAATCTACCTTTCATTTAAGTGGCAAAGTAAACAGCCATAATTAGAAATTTGAAAATCACTGTGCCTACACTAAACGTGTAAGGGACTTCTAAAAGTTGTCTTTTGTGCAGTATCTTCATCAAAGGTTTATGAACTTTTCTTTTTTGCCCCAAAATCAATTAAATAGTATTATCTACCTCAGTATGTTAGAAATGAGGCTTTCCCCTCAGTTGAAGGAAGATAGGCAAAATTTCATTTTTCAACAAGATGGTATGCCGTGGCACTGGCATTTGGAGTTTCATAAATTGATAAACAGAGAACTACTACACCATTGGATTGGTCACAGTGCAACTGATGATTTGGTCCTACACAGCTACCCTCCTAGTTTATCTGACTTAACCCCATATGATTTCTTCCTTTGGGAATATGTCAAAGATTTTGCATTCATACCACCTTTGCCTACAAGTTTGCTCAAACTTAAACAACGCATTTATAATGCTTTATAATAATAGTGAAACACTACAGTGTGTTTGGCAAGAAATGGGTATCACATTGATATTATACAGGCAGGGCCCGACTTAGCCTAATTGGGGCCCAGGGCAAAGACTTCTCTGGGGCCCCCCTCTGCTTCACTACTTCAGTAATGCAGAATCAAAATGGAGGCATTTAAATTTTTATAATAATAAACTTTCTATTCAATTTGGGAGTTCCCTCTGATATGGGGACCCGGGGCAATCGCCCCGTATGCTCCTCCCTTGGTCAGGCTCTCTCTGTATACGGGTGACTAAAGGAAGTCATATCAAAGACTTGTGAAAAAAATTAACATTTTTTCTCTACAGTAACATATTATTTATAATTAAGAAAAATATTAAATTTTGTAATCAGAATGTTTCTAAGCTGAGTAAGAGCTTTTTTTTCACTCATCTGCTTGGCCTTTATTTTTACGTTGCTGGTCATAGTCATATACATTCAGTTACAGAAATATTTTAAATGATGAAAATATTCATATTTTGGCAATGCTAAATTTAAATTTATTTATTTATTTATTATTTTTTTCGGTAGAAATAACAAAATGTAACATTTAATGTGGTCTCTTAGTTCCTATAATTCAATTTTATTTGGGAAAGTTTTATACTTGTTATGAAAATTAAAATTAGAAGTTTGATTCCCCAGTGTCCAAAACCAGGGTGTTTAATTTCAAAATTTGCAGTTTTTGATGTCATTTTCAACTTGCCTTAAGAGATCAGTTAATTAAGCTAGAATAATTTGAGGAAATAAATTTAAATGAAGTGCAGCCAAAAATGTATATAATTTAATTAGCTGTACTATTAAGTCATGTGGTATCCAAATCAGCCCCCCTTCCCTGGTTTAAAGTTAAAAACAAAACAAAATGTTCTAAGGTGACACACTTAAACAATGTTTAAACATGTTTACAGATGACCTCTCTGTAAAACCTCCTAATGTCCCTTCCTGTGTTTAAACATGGTTTCCATATGTGATTTCTTTTATTTTTAACTTAATTCTAATCATGTTTACCTTTTAATTCTTCAATTTTTTTTTCAAATGTATAAAAACAAATAATAGTACTTTTTTTTAGCCAATAATTGTTATGGCAAGTTCTCCTAATATTACATGTGATATGGTTCAAGCTCTCATATGGTAAGGAAAAAAAAATGTTTTTAATATCCTGTTTTAGTATGAAATTATGTAAATGTTTTACTTTATAAGACAAAAATACCCATAACTTTTAATTGTATTTTGTCATAGCAATAAAGGCATATCAAATCCAATATCTCTTCAGTTAATGAAGATACATAGTGAAGATAAAAGAATGCCCTAGTACTTTTGGCTGACAGACTACTGACAGATTTTGAGTTTCTGTCAGATTTTATGAATATCAGTAAGATTATTTCTTTGGTTTAAATTCAGGTTTACTTTTCAAAGAATTGTTGATTGATTGATTTAAGGCAAAGAAGCTTAGTTATACATTTGTAAGAGGTTAAAGATGTGTCTGTCAGCCTCTTCAATATTAGAGAAGGATTCATAGTGTTTAGTTAGTGTTATCTTTGATTTTGAAATTCAGTGTTTCAGGTATCTAGCAGGTTACAGAGAGTAAGTAACTAATGATCATCTGCGATGTAATAAACTTTAAGTTATATAGCCTACAATTGTTTTAAACCTTCATAAATATTAAAATTAAGTATTCATAGAAAAGACCCCAAAAAATTAGGCTTTAAGTAAAATTGTAAATGATTAATAATAATTAATTTGAATAAGTTGAAATATTGTAGAGTAATATTAAATACTATATCTGTACTTTTATAGAAAAAGGGCAAGTTTACTTTGCAAGCTGTAAAAAAAAAAAAAAAAAAAAAAAAAAAAAAAAAAAAGCTGTTTTATTTTCAGTATTCTTTTGAATATTACTTGTTGAATTCAATGAAATAGACTTTTTTAATTATTTATTTGTAATTGAAAAAACATATTACTAATGTCAAAATAGTTTTTTTAAATATGTATAAACTTTTCTTGTGGCATGGTAACTTTGAGATACTTAAAGTTAATTTACAATCTCTTTGTAAAATGGGCTAAACCTTTTTGACAAAGTGATTGTTGATTAAAATATAATTAACTCCCAATTAGCATGGTAATATAGGAGACTACATCTACATTTAACTCAAAGTCATGGTTAATCTGAGTTCAGTTATAAAATAAAGATTAAAAAAAAAAAGACTTATATTAATGGAAAAAGTATTAACAATTTACATACATCTACAAGCAGTTGAATGTGAAGAATAAGTTCATATGATTACATAAATTAAATCAGAATTCAAAACAAAAGGAACACATTGTAAATGATGTTAGGATCGACATCATTAGAAATGAAAAACTTAATTTATTAATGGCATTAAAGAACAATATTTACAGATTCAGGTACAAGTTGGGGGGGGGCAACACAATGTCACCATTGGTCATACATAGTGTATAGTCTCACTGAACTAACTATGCAGCTGTGCCTATTTTGGTGGAAAGCATCATGGGATTTGGTCTGAGGGTCTCCCACCCCTCTTTCCCTGCCACCAAACCACTTGAGAGGATTTTTAGGTCACCAATATTTTGAGTACTTCAATACCACATTGACTCTATACACTTACAAGAGTCTTTGCCTTCACAAGATTCGAATGTGGGCCCATTGGTACAACAGCTGGGGTTGCTAACCACTATACCAGTATTTCTCAACCAGAATGTGATCAACCTTTTATTTAACTGTTAAGTATCTAATTTATGTATATAAAAAACTAGTTTTATTAAGTTTTCGTATTTGTAAACATCTTTTGTAGTTTTCTTGTTAATTTATAAAACACATTAAGAAATAATGTAAATTTAAATAAATGTGTATGCAATTTTCGATTTTTAAAGAGGAAGGGGGACAAGTGATAATTTAGCAATGGTTGAAAGGGTTGGGTGGAGCAAAAAATCTTGAGAACCACAATCACTTTTTCTTAGAGGCGGCAAAGCTCGCATAGAGATATCATTTGTTATTAGTGCTGTTAGCATATGTGTTTTTCATTTCTTTCCTTTTTTAAATTGCATTTTCTATTGACAGTTTTGTTTTACTCTAAAGGCTTGTGATTCTAAATTTTCTGCAATAAACAAACATAAGATTTGGTTAATCCACCCCCAGGGGGGTTATTTGGAAATTGACCATGCATTATGGCTAATAGCTTTTATTTTGAATATTGTTGCATGATTTTATAGTTTCTACCATAACTGAAGTTAAATAAGAGAAAAGTAAGGGGGGGGAATTCTTTTCCAGCAATTAAAGTTGTATGAAATCTTTCAAGCTTGAAACGCTTGAAGGTGAATTTAAATTTAAATAAGGAGGCTTTTTATGATCATGTTAAACTTATATGCAGCCATTGAATCATTTGCTTTTATTATTGTTAGGTGCAGAAATGTAGTGCAGAAAAGTTCATGCTTAATTAATATTGTTACAGAGCATTTTCCAAGTGATCCACATCCTATATTCTTAAGCTTAAAATCTACTTCAGAAGTTGTTTTGTATTTAAACTAATATTAATCCTTTTGGTTATATTTTAGTTGTCTTATATTGAACTGTGTCTTCTTTTGCACACAGGTTTAAATTTTAAGAGGAGAGTTGAAGTTTTGAAATTCATTCGAGAGATTTTTCACAATTAACAACATTCATGAAATTGGCTTAAGGGGTGTTGGAACCCCAAAATCTTGAAAAATCGTGATTTCGGGTTATTGCATTTTCAAATTCTCTACACTTTCATCTTTCTAAAAATATCATTCTTTAATCTCTATGAAAATTAGAACTGTAAAAAATCTAATTTTCATTTAATTATTAATAATAATATAATTAAATAATTTAAATTTGTCATCGACTTCTTTGATCAATGAGGATTTTTACATAAAAATGCATTTTTCTCCAAACGTAATTTTTTTATACTCAATGTACCTTTTCTCAGAAACTACTGCTCACAGGTATCCAAAATTTTTTATGGCTTATTTATTAGGTTTCCTAATATTTACTGAAATGAGTTTTTTGTGAAAAACTTTAAAAAAAAATAAATTTTTTTAATGTTTTTTGTGAGAAAAGTGCTAAATTTTACTATGCCTAACAAAATATTCTGTAAATTACTCTAAAATTCAAATTGTTTCAAAAGCTCATTTCAGTATAATCAAATAGGTATACTTTAATTACACAAATTTCAAGCGTGCACCTACAGCAGATTTTGAGAAAAGGTATATCGAAAATGGCCAATTTAACATTGTCAGTATAGGGGTTGCTGATAGCCCTTAACCCACTGCCGGCACTTTGGCAGTGAAAACAGACCAAAATGTTTCACAAAAGTTTTTACTTTTGTCCTCAAAACAAGCTTGCCTCCAAGACTCAGGGTGTCTCAAAATGGTTTTGCCTCCAGCAAAAACATTTCTTTCCCCTATTCGTTTTTCGTCTGTTAAGCATTCAAGAAGAGGGAGTTGTAAAACTGAAGTGTATTCAAGCTTAGATCCTCCTAATTTTCCCCTCGGGTTATTTGGGGCAGGGATGAACCATAAAGCCTTCAACTTGTGTTCTGTAAAAACATTACCCCGTGTCCCTGACATTCTATGACTGAGTTGTTTGTATAAAGCAGAAAGTAAGGATTAGAGTTTCTACAATGTTTCAGCAAGATAGCATTTCCTATTAATCTAGATATTACAATATAAAGCAATAAATGTTTCTATGGAACCCTACAATAATATTTAATTTTCATTTTATGCTTCTTATAACCACATTTATGAATACAGAAGTCTATTATACGATTATAGTTCCATTAAATATTTGAAATTAATTTCTGTAGAGAATTTTGTGGAAATTTAAAAATGTTTCCTGCGAACTGATTGGTTGTGTAAAGTATTATTAAGTTGGGTCAGAAATAAAATAAAGGCACTTATTTCTGTTACAGCTAAAATTATTATACTTATTGCTATTGTTCTATTTAATTTATCAAGTAATATAAACATATCCTATTTCTTTCACGATTAGTATTGTATCCTCAAAATTTTTTTTATAAGAATGAAATACTTTTTACCAAGTTGGATGTAATTACGTCAAATTATGTGCATTTTTGTTTTATTTATTGGTTATTAATAACAATGCTTCATCTTAAAATCATTCAGTCTTTGATTCATGTCTAATTGCTTCAAAAGAAATGCACAATATTGTCATTCAGGTTGAATAATAGTTAAAAATTTCACAAATATCAAATTTATTAATACTACCTTTAAATTTTTACGTTCTAAATTAGAACTGCATTTTAACTTTCACAAAGATTGCTGAGGTATTTGTCTATGAAAATTTATGTTATATTATTAACAACTTTTAATTAGCAATCAATTACTAACAATTAATCTAAAAAATATTATATTATTAACAACTTTTAATTAGCAAGCAATTTTAATGCCATCATGTAAATATTTCAGTGTCAGTTGCTGTATAAATTTGAATGAAATGGTCAACACATTTGAATAAAATGATTTTCAAGTTTCTTTCCCTGCTACTGTAAGTTAATATACAACTTTAATGTACATTATAAACGATATTTCTGTTTGAAAAATTAGTGACAGTAGACTTTTTAGAAACTAGAGACTATCTTTTAATGTTACAGTGTGCGGAAAAAAAGTTGACTTAATGTTACATACAAACTTCTTTCCATCACATTCACGAAATATTAAATTTTGAACGTTCCAGAGAAAGTTAATATGGAAACATTTTGCACTTTGCATTTGCATTTGGACAATAGAGAGAAGCTTATTGTCCACATCAAGTTTCAGGTCACGGATATGAAAACTCTCCAACACGTAAATAAATAGTGGAAAAAATACGAATTCATGAAGATTTTATGTAAAGTAACATCGATTGATCGATGTGTATTTTTTGCATTTAAGAGGAGGGGAAAAAAAAAAAAAAAAGAAAGCTGCAGTTTTTGACACCATTAGGAGTCATACATTAAAAAAAGAGATTCTTTGGTCTAGTAGAAAAGGTTGTGCTATTAGAATATGACAGAGTAGATGAGGGCTATTTGCATAAGGTGAGGAATGCTTTCGTGAAGGATTTTTGTAGGAAAACTGACTCGTATTCGCATTCCACAGGT